TGTCCAGCAGCAAACTTTAGAAATTAACAACATTTGCATATTCAGAGATTCTGGAAGTTTTAATGAGTTAGAAGGAGGAGATGACGTTTTAAGGATTTTAATGAAAAAACATATCAGACACACATTATTGTTGTATATATGTCTCAATACATGTCTGGAGGTGATCTTTAGAGATATGTCTCCCAAACGCTCCCTAAGAGACTTGTGAGGTCTCTTGGAGAGCATCTGTGGTGTAACAGATAACCTGACATCCCTCTACCTGCTGGCAGTCAGCAGCTCTGCTCAGTGTTACTGTTGGGCTGAGATGCTGGTACCAGTCAGTGCCAGGATCAACCCTGTCTGGCCATAACCATGATCTATGAAGTGCTCAGTAATGTGGGGGGATGGGCTGTGTGTAGGAGGAGTTGTTATCAGCTCCCTGGAATGTGTGAGGGGTTGATTGGGTTTGGATGGAGGGGTAAAGAGTGAGGAGACCCTCATTGTGTCTGTCAGCCCCCTTCTACAGGATCCATAAGATTACAGGTTAGTTCTGACTGAGTTTGGCTCAGCAGGCCAGTCTTGAGAGATCTGTGCTCTCTTTCACAGGGGAGGCAAAAGAGAACAATGATGAGAAAAAGTAAACAATGATCTCAGTGCAAGTGAGAGCCAGAGGGAGTTAAGAGAGAGATGCAAAGACATGATGCAAGACGGAGGAAATGACACTTCTGACAAAGACAACACGGCTTAGGTCGAGATAAGGAAGAAGAAACCTGCAAAACATACCACTTTTGCATTCAAACCTGCGTCAATAACACATCCTGTAGTATTTGGCTCACCTTGTGATATATGGCAGCTTCACTGTAAAACGTTAAGTAATAAGTTAACTCAAACAAATGTTGAAACTGATTACATCAGAATTTTAGTTTTTAGGTTAAAAAAGATTCTTGATTAAGCCACTTTACTCGTATGTTAAAGTCATACTAACATTCCAGATTAAGTACATTATTTTGTTTTTCCAGTACAAATAAAAATGACAAAATTAAGTCACTGTCACTTTAAATTGCTAAAGCTACCTAATTAAGAAAACACAAGACAACAAACCCCACCATCAACTAGCGTTTTGGCTTTGTTAATTGCAGAGCAATGCAGACATACCTGTACAGGTATAAATGCTCACAGTGGTGTAGTTCTCCTGCGTAGGCTCAGCGTAGAGCCTACATACAGCTATCAATCAGCCTTTAGACTCTTGGGAGCTAGACTTGGTCTAAACGTTTAAACAGTTGGTCTAAAGTGCAAAGTTCTTTATCAAACAAATCCAACCAGAGTTCAGACAGTTTCAAAGGCCAAAAAAGAAAGCATTACCAATCTCGACTGACTCAGGTCTAATTGCACTTCACCGTGCCTTGCTCTAACAGTGTCAGCACTAGCTTAGGTTATAAACACTAAGCTGGGACTTGTTAGCTTTCAAATTAAATCAGAGGAAGCACAAACAACACAGCACTTCTCAGGATTTATCAGGTATGGAAAGCATCACCACTGTGGAGGTGAAGTGAAAGACTTATGTGAGGAAGAAGGCTCGGTGTTAGATAAAGGAAGTGATAGCAGATGCATGTGAGAGGAACTGGGGGTGTTGGATGCACTGGGAAATGAGGAATGTAGGTGTTGCAGTGAAGGAACAGATTATTACTGGGATGTTGTTGACTTGCTAGTGGAGGAGTACATTGTCTGCCATTTTGGATTTTATCCAAAGTACCCTACAGTTCCATGATTCCGTTAATTTCTGAGTGTTGGTGCTTGTGGTAGAAATCAATCACCTTGTTAGGAGACACAAGGGAAGAAGTTGTTAGAATTGGCTTGGTCAACACATGGGCTTTCTCTACCTTAAGCTTTGTTTATGCTTGTTGCAGTGCCAAGTGCTTAATGTCCTAACACACCGGATGGACCGTCGGCTGTCAGACAATGTTGGGCTTTCGGTGAGGGTCTAGACCTAGTTTTTGTGGTGTGTTTCACAACGTTGGCCCTTGTTGGCCTTTGTCTGCAGCTTGAGAATCTTTTGCAGGCAATGACTGCCTGAAGTCTGGAACCCATGGATATCACCAAACTCTCTCTTTGTGGGTCTTTCTGCCTTATGTTTTGTCTTAACCAAGTGAAATGCATGCTCGATCGGGGTGATTGACTCGTCCATTGCAGAATATTCCACTTATTTGCCTTAAAAAACTCTTTCGCAGTATGTTTTGGGTCATTGTCCATCTGTACTGTGAAGCGCCATCCAATCAACTTTGCTGCATTTGGCTGAATCTGAGCAGAAAGTATATCCCTTTACACCTGCTTCTGTCTTCTGTCACGCGCAGGTGCAGAACATACGTGCTAGTTGGCTGTTCGCTTTAGTGGTTATAATGTCTTCTAGTGTCACTTTTTGGTCAATACACAGGCAATGTCAGGCAGTTGGCTTTTGTTGCTGCTAGTTCTTCAGCATTGATTTGGTTTGTCAAGGCAGTGCATGGTTGTGCACCTCCTAGGTTTTGAGATTTACATTTAAAGGACGAGTTTGAAGTTTAAAGAAGTTTATTTGTTTAATGGCTGCAATCAAACATAGCCTACATCCCATTACTTCAAGGACATGCCTTACCTGAAACAATGCTCTCCCTTCATTCTCCTCTGTAGTGAAACATCCTGGAGATATCACTTTGTAACACAGAGAGAGCTTATTAAATTGGTTAATTGGTTCTGCAATGCAGTTTTTTTAATCCTTTAATTGTTTCTCCAAGTATTAGCAATAAAAGCTGAGTCAGTCTCTATTAAGTGAAGCGTTATAGCAACCATGCGGTTTGTGTTGTGTGTGATTCTAAGACAATCATTGCAGTTTTCAGGCATATAATGTCAGATACTGTGTACAAACATTAGTGAGTGAAACTTTCATTGACAACACTGGCAGCTGCCAGCTTGGCCATCTAATAAGTTTACTTTTAACACCATCTGCTCTGACGTTAAGTCTAAAGGAAAGAGGGGCTTGTTACTCTTCATCACCAGATTGGTTTCTAAGCACCGGTAAAGGTCAGAGTTATAGGCAGCCCACTTTATAAGCCAGAGGGTAATACAGCTCGCAGGGGAAGGACAGTGTACTGTGTTAGCCAACAGGCATTCACAACTAATGGAACCTTTGTCCTTGGGGACATAATGGTTCAACAGAATGTAGAAAGGCTATCTCACTGTATTTTTGGCCCTCACACTACTTTGGTGTTTTAGTTGCACTTACTCATTTGTCAGTTAAAAGGTGCACTGTGATTACTTTTTCCTTGGAATTTTTACTGACAAATTTTCTTTTGATTGCATTGTTGTCATTCAACCGTGGTTGCTCATGCTAACTTTACCACTCTACTAAACAAACTAGAAATGTAGCCAAATCCATTTCCCATTGTTTTGCCAGTAATAAATAACCAGATATGGAAGAAGGACAGCTTGCATGTATTGAAGAAAAAATAGCCTTTACTTAAACCTGCATTAATACCAAGTGTGAACCTATTGTGACATCACCGATTGGTTTGTGGAGTACTGTTTGAAGCCTTGAGTATGGCACTTTGGCTGCCACCATGACAGTTACACGGAGCCAGCGCAAACCAGCAGGCGTGACGTGCTGCGAGTTGATCTACGCTCATTGGCTGCGCAGTTTTGACTCGTATGTAGCCGGAAACAATGTTCAGCATACAGGTGAGCCACGCGGCTTTATTGTCTATTTTAAATTAAATTGGACCATAATTTACAAAATGAACATCATGATGTATTGAAGACGAAGTTAAACTATTAAAATATTAAACAGAGACAGAGACAAATCCATTGTCGGAAGCAATCAAAAAGGTCATTATTAACTTTAACCAGTGCTGTCTCTGTGCTGTGATGAACTCTAAATCCTGACTGAAAATCCTCAAATAAGCTATTGCTAGTCTAAATATATATCTGATTTTACATTTGTTAAAGTTCCTGAACTTGGAGAGACAGCGATACTTTTTAAATTTTTTATAAATATTTTTTTTTGTCTCTAATAGTATAATCTTTTATCATCAAAAGAACGCTCATAAAGCTCCGTTGCTACCTTAGGGTCTAACTGGGCGGATACCGTGCTCAATAAGAGGGCTGTGCACTCTCCTGCTCCAGCCTGGCTACAGTGCTGAAGCAGGAGCTAGCCAACTGAGACCAACTCATAAGGAAAATGTTTACTGAGCTTCATAAATGACAGTGTCAAGTCGGCTCATTCTCCATTAAAGTGAATGGGATCGCTGTGTTATTGCAGCCTGCTGAAATTTACATAGAATGCAGGGTTTGAGACACTTCCGTGTTGGCATCACTTTTCAGACCCGGAAGCTCTGTTCATTATATATACTGTCAATGATTAATACATTTTTTGGGCACTGGGAGACAGCAAAACAAGCTGTAAACACTGACATATTATCACCTAATAACATTTATATTACTCATTTAAGATGTTGGCAAACAATGTATTTGTTGTTTCTGTTGTGTTTCTGGTCTGGCAAATTTTGGGATGGGGTTGGGATTTACTCTCCCCTTTGTTCTGTTTTGGTCTGCACCAACATCTGATGGAAAAAATACCTCAATCTTTGGCTGCTAAATACTTGTTCATACAGTTAGTTGCTAACTGTATCCGTCTGCTGTTTCACTGAATACAGGGTTGTAAAAAAATATTAGTATTGTGATATTTTGTTTTGTAGTATTGTATTAATTCTCAAAAACACAGTATCAGTTTCTCTGTTTATACTGAAACTAGGTTGATGAAAGAGATTGAACCAAACAAGTTGTTTAATTGCAATTTTGTCTTCCATTCCAGGCCTACTGTGCACAGCAGCGGCAGACAAGTGTTTATCATCTCCCTGCAACAATGGTGCCACATGTCTTGACCACCTGGGTGACTATGTGTGCCTGTGCCCCAAAGGACCGGTCTGGTACATGGGTAAAAACTGCGATGAGCTGTATGATGCCTGTGTCATGGCACCTTGCACCAACTGTACGAGCAACCCTGGGACTGACGAGTTCACCTGCCACTGCCCGGATGGCTTCACAGGGCTCAACTGCACCCAGGATGTGGATGAATGCCAGAGCAACCCCTGCAAAGGCATCCTGTCTCATTGTGTCAATGGAGTCAATGGCTATTCCTGCCACTGCCCCCTTGGACTGGGAGGAGAGGACTGCCAGGATAATGTGACTGTTTGTTCAGAGGGTACATGCCAGAATGGTGGCACCTGTGTGGACATCCCTGACATTGGGTACCGGTGCCAGTGTGCTGCTGGGTACGAGGGGAGCAACTGTGAGGAGAACATAGATGAATGCCAGTCTGAGCCCTGCCAGAATGGAGCCATCTGTAAAGATGGGGTTAACGCCTACCAGTGTTTCTGCGTGCCTGGATTTCAAGGCTATCACTGTGACTTGGACATCAACGAGTGTGCCTCCCGACCCTGTCAAAACAATGGCACATGCATGGATGAGGTGGATCACTACAGATGTGACTGCGCTGCAGGCTTCAAAGGTAAGACATTGTCAGGGTTTTTAATAGGAGAAGTTTATTTCATTTGATCAGAGATTCTTGGCAAATGAGTTGGCATTTGATATGAATACATTGGACCATTCTAAGTTTCAAGTATTCACTGATTCTTCCTGAATTCACAAACAACTCAAAACAGCAATCCAATTATGAGACACTAGCACTCACCACTTAAACACAAAGCTGGATTACCAAGAGGTTAAGCAGGGGAACTGTCCTAGGGCCTCAGACCCTGAGGGGCTTCAAAGGCCACAGTTCAATATGTGGAAAGTTAGGATGTGGATAATTTGTTAATTTGATGGGATATGATAGTGTTCTAGAATAAGAGTTCTGATTGGCCAAAACAGGTCGTAGTGTACCCCCTTTATGTGGGTTATGTGAAGGTCAGGATGGTGGATAAGTGTGTAGTGCATCTGACTTGAGAGACAAGTGTTTTCACCCTGTCACAGACCTGAATTGATGCAGGCCTTTTTTATAATCTGTTACCACAGTACTTGTTGCATTTAAGATAAGATCAAGTATATTCCTTTAATAGTCGCCACAAAAATGGGGAAATTCCATATTTATATTTATTATAATTTAAGGCTGCGTAACTATAACGACCCCACTTGCCTAACTTTTTCCATAACCATGATCTTTCTCTAATCTAAGTCTCAGTGTAGTTCAGTTGCTTCCAACCTTTTTGACTTTCAACCCCAAAAAACAGAAGCTTAAGAGAGCAAAATATGTACAATTGTCCAATAATGCACAAGATGCCAGAAAAATCCCTTCAGTCCTTGAACATAATTAACGGTTTTGCAGAATCCTTCAGTATCAATGTTTTTGTGTGGGGATAGATTTGTCAGTCCTCACGTTTCTGATGTTTACTTCAGTATCACAGCAATCTAGTGATAGTTGTCTGTACATCCACTACAAACAGGACCTGCTAATAGCTAATTCAGACAAAGTTTCGATGGTGTCAATTTTCCAAAATGTAAACGTATGTGGCTAAAAAACTGTCTGAGGGGGCCCCCCAAAGTGTCAGACTTTACATGCTTAATCCAGTTTTCTGTTTTGATGTTCTTTTTGGTTCGTTTGGAGTAAAATACCATGTTGTTATCCAATATTTGTCACAGCATGAAGTTTAAATTTTAAAATTTTTTAAAGCATCACAATCAGATTTTTGGATTAAAAAATGCATTTCTGGGTCTATAGATTATCACAGTCAGTACGGATTACAGATGTTGCTTTATTCTTACCTTTTATTGCCATTAATGATATGAAAAGAGGTTGCATGGCTCTGTTTAAGTAGCATTAGTCTGTGTTGCTGTTTTCCATTTGCAGCTGAGCTCCTGGCAGCTCAGTGTTATTGTGGTATATCTGTAGGTGTACTAAGATAATTAGGTGTGTCTCTCAGGCCTTGGCCCACTGCCATCTCCTCTCTGTCCCCTGCAGGGATTAACTGCGAGGTGGAGATCGATGAGTGCGAGGTGCTACCTTGCCAGAATGGTGCCACCTGCCGAGACCGCGTCGCGGGGTACACGTGCGAGTGCATGGCTGGCTTCCAGGGCCAAGACTGCGAGGTCAACATTGATGAATGTGCCATCATGCCCTGTCTAAATAAGGGCAAGTGCATAGATGGGGTCAACAGGTAGGTTTACACACACGCACACACTGTCTGCACATATCCACACACACAGTTTTAGTGTAGTTAGAAAGGTTTGTTTTTTAGAAATGCAATATAACCTCATGGATAAACAGTTACACACACTGATACATACAGTGTATGGTCTAAATGAAGTCTGATAAACAGAATATTCATGTTTGAGTGACATAACAAAACATCGATTTTTGCAGTGTGGTTGACACATTCAGCACCATTTTGCTGTGATTTTTCCAGTTGAACAATGTTCTTTCATTGAAATGGTGCGAAACAGTGTGCAAATGGCTTTGAGGTATGTTTTCTCACTTGTGTGGGTGTGTCAGAGGTGTTACCGAATCAGCAGTGATAAAAAACCAGTGTATAAAACCTGCTGTGTTACAAAGGCAATGTGGGGTGCCCTGGTAGCTCACCTGGTAGAACTGGCGCCCCATGTAAGGTGGCCATGGGGACGACTCCGACCTGCGGCTCTTTGATGCGTGTCATTCTCATCATAAATCCACAGACTGAAATGAAATTGTGAGAAATATCCAGGTGTTCCTATTCATATAAAACTGAACTTGTCAATGTTCATGCTGTTTTTAAATTTTTTTTTTCTATCACAGTTTTCTATCACTCCGAATTCCAAATTCAAACAGGAGAGTTCAGACCCTACTTCAGTTTGAAGATTTAGTAGGTTTGGTAGTCTAAAAGGGGTGTTGGGAGACCAATTAACGATGCCCAATTGTGATGTATGTACGTATTTGTGATATCTTTTTTAAAGACCCCTCCAGTTAAAAATCAATGTTTACTTTATAAATGAACAACATTTGCATATTCAGAGATTCTGGATTTTTTTTTTATAAAAACATATCCTACACACATTATTGTTCCAAGCAGACTATTTGTCTTTGTCTTAATACATGTCTGGAGGGAATCTTTAATACCAAGAGTATCACAATATCTTTAAGTGTTACTGACATGAACACTAACACGTTGTCTAATATGAATAATGTGAACTTGGGTGGAGTCTGATCAAATACCCAATAACAATAAAGGTTACACCCATAAATTGAGTTAGACTGGTGGTCATAAGAGATTATTTTCTTATCATATGTATAACCAATATACATAATTAGTGCACGTCTATATGACTGTCTGTATTTGTCTTTGTTTATATCAGGTTCAGCCCGGTAAGGCCGATGTGTCATGCAGCAGTGTGTTGGATCAGCTTGAGGCTGCATGGCAGACATTAAAGTTGACCAGGGATAACAATTAATCCACTTATCAGTCGTTGCAATGAGTCATTAGATGTCTGGAGGTGGTGAGAATACCCGGTGGTAACACCTATTGGAACAGCAGGGAGTGAGAAAGATGAAGGATGTTATCATACACATAATGCTCAGGGACATGACAGCTGATTTGTTTAAAATCCCTTTAAATATGTTTTGTTTTTAAATCTGAACATCTTTGAATACAATTTATAAAATGATTTAATAAAATGAATCATGCAAATTATTTTTAATAACTTTTTTTGGCACACTGATCAGTTTTATTTTTTTTGGAGGTAGCATAAAAAGGAACTATGTCTAAATTTGTACAATGAAGTACCCTTGAATATTCAGTCTATGTATCTTTTGAAAGAAGAAATTGCACATTGCTCCTCTTACAACTGACGGACAACAAGGTGAATTCATAGGAAATAGTCAACCATAGTCATAGTGGTCAAATACTGCTATTTGGTCAGTGGCCCTCCACTTTAAAATATGACACTAGGTGTCTTTCTAGCATCATTTTTGGACACGCCATCAAATCAAGTGACAATGTCCTTAAATAACGTATTTAAGTCAGGTATGGTTTGTTTTATTCATGTTCTTAAGTTACATCAGATAACTTACGATCTTTTGCTAACCAAGTCGTTTTTGAGCCTAATCAAACTGTAAGCGTTTCACAATGTTAAGCTTTATATTGTATCCTGTTTGTCTTTATTTTCCACTAGACAACATAACCATAACCATATATTTCATAATAATCTTTTGCACAAACCACTGCTTTTTCAAAGATAAATAACACCAAAAAATCTATATATAATTATTCACCTTATCTCATTGACAATTGCATTATAAGCAGTAAGTAAGAGTAAGAGTATAAGCTTATTTATGTCTGTGCTCTTTTCTAGCTATGAGTGTGACTGTGAGGGGACAGGCTTTGTAGGCGACCACTGTGAAGAGGACATTCCTGAATGTGCTTCTGACCCCTGCCAGCATGGAGCCACTTGTTTGGAGGGGATCAACCAGTACAAGTGCATCTGCTGGCCAGGTACCATTACTCTACACAAACTCTCTAACACTGCAGCAGTCACACATTAACCCACTGCTCAGTATAGTTTATGACAATTTTCATGACTTCACTTAACTGAAGTCATGAAAGAAAATGCATGTTATAATGTTGAAAATTAAAAAAATAAAAGAAAGAACACATAAAAAGCACCCTCAAGCTGGAGGTTTCCCACACATAAATCAAACCAAACAAAGGATGATCTGACCCTTGAGTTCAGAGGACAAGAGCAGGCTGAAGAGCAGGGCTGTGCTTTGCACCATTCAGTATTTATGGTGGAGCTGCATAAACACAGCAGTGTGGCACTATGTCAATCCTCCAGGGCTGTGATGAATTATGATGAGTGATGCATGAGCACATTGCAACAGAGAAAGATGCAGACATCAGCAGTCTTCATGTGATTTTTGCTGTCATAACTGTCATATCCTAAGAGTACCTTATGGAGATTTCACCATTAGATTTAAAATACTTAAACTATTTATCCATCTAGATTCTTTTGGTGTGTGTTGATGAGTTTTGGAGATTATGATGCTAAAAATGAAAAAAACTCAACAGCGAGGTCTCTTTCTAGCCATCATGACCCGGCTACTCAATCATAATCCACAGGATAGGTTACAGATTTCGTATGTGAAGTATGTCTTAATACAATGCTGACATATCACATGTATTGTATACTATTTGCCACTGTAATTATTCCTTCTGTTCATACTGGCTATAATGCTAATATCAGTGACATTATAGACTTAAAGGTCCAGTGTGTAACATTAAGGAGGATCTATTGGGCAGTTTGTAAAGCGAGACAGTTGCAATCTGTGACTACAATGCTAGATGCCACTAAATCATACACAGTGGACCTTTAACTAACTACTACCTTAAACATTATCATTTATGTTTAAGCTGCATCTAAATCTACTTTAAAAATCCTATTAGGAAGGCTATTATAGACGATGGATGGATGCATAAATGAAGCTAGATTTGTCACAAGACTCTTTTTGGCAAAAGTTGCTAAAGTTGTCTTAAAACTAAAACTAGTATGGACATTTTCAAGTTGGAGCAAAAATGCTTTTTACTTTAGCAAATATGGCTTCATCAGTCTGAGTTAGTCACATGAAGTTGGCCTCATCCAAGTTACAGTCTGTTTGCTATTACATTTCCTCTTTGTGCAGCATTGGGATATGTCCTGGTGGTCGGATGCAAATATGTTGACAGAACCGGCTTATTTGGACAAAATGTGAATTTTAAGCTTGCTTTACACAGGCAAATTTGACAGCTGAGGTAGTTATGCAGTGTTTGTTCCACACAAATGGAGCACTCAAGACCACATGCACTGTATATGTGGAATGTGTTGGTGTACAGTATATGTGTCAAAGTTAGGACATTTAACAGCCAGTATGGACAAAATAAATCATTACAGTGACAAAAAACCCTTTTAACGTACGTATGCGCATGTGAGTATTGTATTAAGACACATGAAACATCCAACACTAGCCATCCAAACATGTATTCATGTTTATCCGTGTGTACAGGTTATGAGGGAGAGAACTGCGACGTGGATATAGATGAGTGTGAGCAGCATCCCTGTGAGAATGGCGGTGAGTGTTTCCAGCGCTCTGATATCCTGAACTATGGGACGGTGCCTGAACTCAGCAAAGCCAATTTCACCTATTCGGAGGCAGCTGGCTTCATCTGCAACTGTCTGCCAGGATTCATAGGTAAACCACAATAATACCCCTTCAGTTTCTTGGTATTTTGCCTTACATACTCACCATGAAGCGATGAGGACGTAGATATGGATCTTACGAATGTGTTCCCTTTGCAGGAGACAACTGCTCAGTCAATGTGGACGAGTGTGAGTCTGCTCCATGTCAGCATGGAGGAAGCTGTCAGGATCTGGTCAACTCTTATCAATGCATGTGTCCAGATGGATTCACAGGTAGGAGCAACCTCTCATCTGCTCTATCTCTTAACAAAACAAAATTGAGCTCCTCCAGAGGCCCCCCGCAGGGTTGTATCCCATTCTTATCGCTGTTCATCCTCACAGGCTGCAAGTCAGTACAAGCACTTTCTGAAATTCACATGACAGCATGTTTTTGTGGTCAGTGAGCCTGGCCTGCACAGCTGTGATGCTGACTTACTAAAGCGGAACATTACTACAATTAACACGGTTGTTGAGTTCAGCCAAACACAACTTGCACTTTCCTAGAATGTTAAAGGACAGTTTATTTTTGACTCTAACTCTTAAAGAACTGAACATTATTAGACACCTATACAGTAGGAAAATAAGAAATAACCACCTATTCAAATAGGTCCACGGCAAAATTGGGATTAGTGCCTCTGTGCATATAAACACTACTATTAGATGACATCCTTTATAAAAAGTTGACCAGAAATCTTCAAGAACTTCTGAATGATTTTAATTAGAATTTTCTTTTAAATGTGCGTCTGTTATTATTGTCAAATTCCAAATTTGTCATGTGTTGCAATACTAAATACTGGACACTGAATACTCATAGTAAGACTTGAAAGCCATCTTTCATTGTTATGTTTTGCATTGCCTCAGTGAAAAAAGAACTTCCCTGTGGGGGACAAGAAAGATCTGAAGCGAACTAGACTGAATGTCCCCAGTTGAAGCCAGTGTTTAGACAGATAACCTTTTACGCCAGGTCTCAGAATCTCCACTTCGGCCAAACAATAAAGGGTTAATCTTCCTCCTGCTGACCATTCCTCATGGCTGGCCAACGTATTAATTCCTCATTAACAGAGATTTGTCATTGCATCACTCAAAACAAGAGGAACTGCACAGAAAGCTGACCTTGAAACACACAATCTGGAATTAGAACTGAGGAATTCAGCCAAAAGCTCCCATCAACAAAATAAGAGGCTAATTTGCTACCAGTGTTTAGCCACGCGATGTGGAGGCCACAGCAGAGCAGAGGGTAGGAGGGGATGAGAGGGCATATGGAGGAGCATAGCAGAAGACAACAAAGCCAATAAAAGGTGCCATATGTCAGACGTCCACCTTGGGCATTAAATGGGGGTCTCCTAAGAAATTTGTCAGGGGGGAGGTTGAGATTATGGCAAAGCTGCTTAGGAGCCTAATTAAAGCCTGGTGAAAAAAAAAACAATACCGAACATGAGCGGAAATGAGACAAGATGCTTTTCCAAAATAATCTGCTCTTTATTCTTCTGCTATGTTAAACTGTAAACACACACTCTTGTGCAACAAGAAGAGATAGAAAGATAGAGAAAAACTATGCGGCTAAAAAATATTATCCTATTAACTTAAGAGGGTGACTGCACGTCAACTATAGAGGCCACTATAACTGGCTGTTAAGCCAGTAGAGGTGAACCTCTCTCGTGCCCTCCTCATTTCACATTTAACTCCATGATTATGGAGTTAAGATTTTTAGGTTTCATTGGGTTTTTTAAAGGTTAGGTTTAGGAGTAGGATTTACTCATCACATCATCAGTAACAGGTGCATGCTTTAGTACAGAACACATGACAAAATTATTCACATACCATATGTCCAGATATCTCTTTTTCATTCCAAAGTATTAGCCCCATAATTGCTGATGCAGTTAGTGGTTTCTCTTAGAATTATATGTGTAAATGTTCTTTTGAAGGCTTAGGTTAATAATGTGAGGGAAAACTGTAAGCCCAGTGCTGCCACTGAACGGCAAAGAAGAGTGGATTTTTGGTAGTGTAACGTTAGCCAGAGCTAGCTAAATGTCAGCAATGGAACTCACTGTCAAACTAAATAATAAAAGGAAGATTGATGGAATTAATTATCTGTATATTTGTTCCTGTTTAACCTGAGCCAGGCAACAAATATAGCATTCGTACAGGGTTACAGTACAGTATACAGCTTTATAAAAAATATATATATATATATTAATGCACTTGTATCGGATTGTTACTCTTTAATGATTGATGTGCAAAGTTGGTATCAGAACATCCCTAATTCAAACGTAACATTTTCAATGAATTGTCATTCATGAGATTCTGAGACTTTAATGTCACTATCTCTGAAATTCTAAAAAAATAATATTTTATGATATAAAATAGGTAGAATAAACTTTATTGTCCCTAAGGGGAAACTGAAATTACTTTAGAAATCTGAATTACCTTTGTAATTTAGAATTTAATTCTAAAAACAAACAAACAGTAAGTAGTTGCTAAAATCAAATCATTGTTCTGAGACTGTCAGAAGACTGACTTTCATCTTAGACTTTCCAACTTTCATCTCACAGATTATTTGCAATAAAATTCATTCTAATCCTTGACTATGTAAGCTATTGTCAACCAAGGTTGAAGTAATTTCAAGATTAATTTCAGAGCTGAGTAATACCAGAGCATACTGTAACAATACATATAAATAATAATAAATCTAAAGTAATATAATCAGACACAGTTCTGGTGGATGAAACTGACTAGCTGATATGCAAACTTAAATAAAAGATCAATATGGGCTCCATGTTTCAGTCCAGCTGTGCTCAGGCCTGGCCCACCTGAAGCCTTGAACCTGCAGCACCTCCTGCAGTCTCATTCTAGCAGCTCCCACCGCTAGTGGGCATCCACAGGACAGCACATGGAGCAGGGAGGGGACTGCAGCACTGCATTCATCTCGTCAAACACTGACAGGAGCCAGCTGGAGGCTGGAGGCTTACCGCTCTGCTAGGGCTGGGCTGCAGACGGGAGAGGAGCAAAGGGTGTGAGGGAGGGATTCTGGGAGGGATGGAGGAGGGAGAAAGAGAGGGAGGAAAAGAAAAGGTGGGCAGGGCTGCCTAGTAATCACTCCTGCCTGGTACACAGTGGAGGAGTGGAAGCACTTCTGCTTTGTAAGCTAAAGAGAGAGAGAGAGTGAGAGAGGGAGAGAGGG